AAAAAATATTATAAAAATTTATGTATATTTAATTATCTTCTTTTATGTTTAATGCAAATATAGCATAAATGATACGTTTTGTTGCAAGTTGCAATTTTTGAATTTTTTGTTGTTATTTTTGGTGCACTTTACCAGCAATTTTAGTTTACCAAAAGTATTTTTGATTTCTTTAATATAAAAACACTAATAACTTCATTTAAAGTATATTATTATTTAAGGTATATTATATAGTAATATATAGGTATATATATTTTTATTTTTTGTGTATGTGTCTATTTTATAGTTAGAGGTGCCTCACTTACTATTTTAGCTCACCTGTAATCTATTTTATATGTATGTTTGTGTTCTGTCTAAACCTCTGATGGGGTGTTGACTCACCCGTAAGTTGCTATCTGTATGTTTGTGTTCTATCTGAACCTCTGGCATGGTGTTCACTCACCTGTAAGTTACTATCTATATGTTTGTTCTGTCTGTTTATGTTTATATGTATGTTTGTGTTCTATCTGAATCTCTGGTGCAGGTTTACTCTCTTGTAAGTTACTTTATGTATGTATGTGTTCTGTTTAAATATTCTGTTTAAATGTTCAAATCTGATTTGATGTAGTGTGAGCTCATTAAATAACCAGACACTCCAAGTATTAAACCTATGCTCACTCTTATCTCTAGCATTTTGTTGGGTGTAATATTTTTCCTAATGCATTTCCAATATATCATGCCTGATGTTTTAAGGTGCTGTTGGCAGAAGCTCCTTTTAATTACTCTAGGTCAGGTCAGGTTCAGGTACCATAAAGTAGCTTCTTTTAATTATTACAGATCAGGTAGTACTGGGTTACATAATAACAGGTTCAGGGTAATCATCACAATCACCCTGCTACTAGTATTATGTAACCCAGTACTACCTGCCCCATGCCCTACTGCATTATAGAGTGGGCTTTTTTAGGCAAAGGCTAAGAGGAACAAACTCCGACTTCAAAATCTCTTGCCTTGAGGCTCTTGGCTGAGTAAAGGCTAAAGATGGTGTCTTGATAAAAATACTCATCCTGGGCAGATGTTACCTGCAGCTGGATGCATATGATACTCTCTTGTAGGAGGCCTGCTAGGCAAAGACTTTAGGGGTAAGCAGAATAGTTCTATTGACCAGCCTCGAACCCCTTTTTAATCTATTAGGCTGGTGTAGATGTAAACCTGTGTTACATTGTTACCTGCCTAGGATGATGAATGCTGGATCTTTTTGACTCTTTTCATATATTTTTGTTTGTGCCTCCTTGATAGTGGCTATGCAAGAGGGTAAAGCTCTAAAACTCAGTTTAATGTTTCTGAGGCCAGCTGGTAGTAACGTTTCCTGAACTCTGTGGAACTCATCAAACTCAGCAAACTCATCAACAGTTGAACAATATCAGAGTACTAACAGTGCCATGTTGTGCATGGATGGTGTCTCTGTTAATCCGTTTGATATGCATTGTGGAGGCCGCATAAGGACCCCTATGTTATGACTTAGGGTTAATTAACAGGACTGAGAAAATTGCATAGCTCATTGCTTGGAAGGCCGTGCTCTACCTATGAATCAGTCAAGTTCTCTTTAAATTATGCCAAAAGTAAACCAAAATAATTAAAATAAAAAACCATCCCCACCACCTAACTGTTTTAACATATCTTCTACTAATATTCGTGGTCTGTGAAGCAACCTTTTACCAGTTGTATCTTACCTCCTACAAAATTTACCAATTATGATTGCTCTTAATGAGACTAATTTAAGTTCTACTATTCCTTCCTCTGATCTCTGTGTTAATGGGTGTTATCCTTTAATTCATAAAGACTCCAATAGTCATATGCTTGGCTTAGGGGTATACATACATATCAATTCACCTATTTGTCCTGAAACCAGATTCGAATTCTTTGATCATTCTTTTATGTGCTTCCGCTTAGCACCTCTTCACTCTTTCTCTTTGTTCTTTATCGTTCTCAAGAAAATTTGATCAGAAATTATAGATCAGAAAATTTAATCAGAAATTAAATCTAAAAGAGTGCAATCAAGATTGCACTTTTTAAAGTATAATTTCTGATCAAATTGATCATGCTCTCTCTTTTTACCCCTCTGCTAATATTGCTGTTATTGATGACTTTAATGCTCATCACACTGAATGGCTTAACTTTAACATCACTGATCCTGCTGGCACTGAAGCCTATAACTTCTGCATTTCTCAATCTCTTACTACTCTTACAGATAGTTCACTTTGTTACTCGTTTTCCTGACAACCCTAATCATTTATCTTCACTCCTTGATTCATGCCTTGTCTCTGATCCTAGCTTGTGTTCAGTTTCTTATTTTTCTCCCAAAGGTGGTTCTGACCATGCATTAGTCTCTTTAAATCTTTCATCTCGAACTTCCTTTTCGAACTATCGATACCCTATCTTCACACTACTTACTAGTACCCCAAAGCTGATTGGGATTCTTTTTGTGATTTTCTTTATAACTGTCCTTGGGTTGTTGTCTTTTCCCTCTTAGGTGCAAAATGCGCCTCCTACGTAACCTGAATTTAGATAGGAATGGAAGCTTTTATTCCTTCTCGTCAGTTCCAAGTCAAGCTTCATTCTATTCCATGGTTTTCACCCTCTTTTGCAGTTGCTATATCTAATCGTAATCATTTTTTTAAAAATCTTTTTCAAAAGAACAACTCTCTTAAGAACAAACGTCTATATACTATTGCAAGAAATTGACAAAAAAAGGTGCTGTTAGATGCAAAGCTCTATTATTCTCAGTTGACTGAATCTCGTATCTTATCTCAGAAGTTAGGCTCTGGAGACTTTTGGAAAATCTTCAACAGCATTGTTAACATAGGTAGGTCTAACATTCTATCTCTCATTCATGGGACTGATCTTATAACCTCTCCCAAGGAAAAGGCAGAACTATTTGCAAAGCACTTTTCTTCTAACTCGACTCTCAAATATTATGACTATTCTTATCCTTCCATTCCAATTAAACAGGTTAACCCATTGTTAGCAATGTAAGCTGTAGTCAAATCACTCCAGCTTTTGTTGCTAAAATCATATATTGATTAAACTCTTCTATGGCTTGAGGTCCAGACAACATTCCTGTCACAGTCTTACAAAATTATTCTCCAGAACTCTCTTCAATTTTCTCTGAACTATTTAATAAGTGCTTGACTGAGTCTTGTTTTCCTGCCTGCTGGAAAACGGTATCTGTTGTTCCAATTTTCAAAAACTCTGGTGATCATTCACACCCAATTATTGTTCAATCAGTCTTTTTTCTGTTATTAGCAAGGTCTTTGAGTCTTTGATTTACAAATTTCTCATATCCCATCTTGAGTCAAATAACTTGCTGTCAAACAATCAGAATGGTTTTCGATCCTCTCACTCTACGACTGACTTGCTAACTGCTGTGGCTGAAGGGTTTTATTGAGGCTAAGGTTATTGCTCTTGATCTTGATATCTTGATAGGTTTTAGGCAAAGTTTGGCATGCAGATCTTCTCCATAAGCTTTTTTGGTATGTTGTATCTGGGAAAGTTTTTGAAATTATCAAATCAATTCTTTCTAACCGATTTATTAAAGTCATCCTCAAAGGGCAACATTCTTTATTTTCAGTAACTTCTGGGATAACTCAAAGTTCTATCCGTAACTTCTGGGATAACTCAAAGTTCTGGTATATTTTGTTTCTTATCTACATTAATAATCTTCCCAACAATCTCATATCTAAATTAGCTCTTTTGGCTGATGATTCTTGCTCCTATCTAGATAAAAAAGATTCTTTTTTCGATTGCTTAGAACAGGCAGCTGATCTCGAATCCAATCTCACTTCTGTAACATATTGGGACTCACAGTGGCTTGTAAACTTTAACTCCTACAAAACTCAGTTAGTTACTGCAAACAACTATTGCAGTACTGTCGAAATTCCTATATAAATGAATGGCAACCTTCTCATTGAGTCCTCTTCTTCTTGTCTTCTTGGATTATCGTTTAGTACTGACCTTTCATGGAAACCATATATACAATAGAATACTGTTATCATATTTGGGCTGGTTCTTCTGCAGTGTAGAGGCTGATTCTACCAACAGCTGCAAAGTACCAAAGTATTAAGTGCCATGTTGCACATGGAAAATGTACTTGTTAGTGCTTTTGGTGTGCATTAGCCATATAAAGAGCCTTTTGTTATGAATCTATTTAATTAGAAGTATTTTTTCAAATACCTTCACTCCTTAGACCATTTCTCTGACTCTATCTTGTGCTCATTTTCTCCTTGTTTTCCTTTAGATGGTTCATTATATTTTATGATCTCACTAATGCCTTTATCTCATACTTCTTCCACAATAGATGCACCCTATAATTGCACTCAATCTATTATGACGCAATCTTATAAAATCTAAGTTAAAATTAATGTTGCAATCTCATAAAATCTAAGTTAAAACTTATAATGAAGTAATCATAAAATTGTTAAAATTCGTAATGATGCAAACTTAAAAAGTTAAAACATTTAATATCTTATAAAGATTCAAGACTTGTAATTGACATTGGGTTGAAAAAATAATAATAAAAACAAGAAAGGATGCATAAGTAGGTTTTTGGTCTCCAGGTCTTTCTGAGAGCAAGCAACAGAGGCTTAGGTTTTTGGCAGTTGGTATATGTCTTGGAAATTTATTATAGCAGAAAAGTTTTTTTTTTATTTTTCATATTTTATTTTATTTTTTCAAAAATTTATGTGTTTATGTAAATATCTTTTTTGTGACAGTATGTCACAATAAGTTATTTACACAATACTTTTTTAATGCTTTGCTTTTATGAAACAACAATATATGATTAAGGGAGAAAGAGGTTAAGGGAGAAGAGCCTTGCTATACAACAGTTTTCGATAGAATTGTAATATATTTGTAAAAGTTGAGATCTCATTGAACAGTTTAAATGCCAAAAAAATTATTATTAGTCAGTTGTTATTAGTTGAATAAAGGAAAAAAGTGCTGAAAAATTTAATTTCTTTTTTATACAGGATACAAGAAGTACCAAGTGATCCAGCTTCTTTGGTGCTTGATTATTATATTAGAAATGATCATTGGACTTCAAGATTATTACTTTTTTTAAGTACAAAAGGGATTGTTATGGTAATAAATTAAAACAATCAATATAATGTTGTAGCAATGTAAAGTTATGTAATTAGTAAATTATTATTTAAAAAGCATAAGAATAAAAAAATATTAAGGCTTATTTTGTATGTTTTAGACCTGTTAAACAAGTTTTTTATGCATGATTGCAATATATTAATATGAAAGCATTGTAGGGTTAGGGTCAGGATTTGAGTAATGGTTACCCTGAACTAGATGTATTTAAAAATTCAAAGTATTTTAAGTTAAAATCCATCTTTTATCCAAAAAAGTACTTTAAGTTGTGATGATCATTTATAATTTTTTTATATATTATTTTTGCATTATAACTTTTTTTTGATACTATTTTTTTCAGGTGGAATCAGCTAGAATGATGGGAATGTTGCTAATTGTTGCTGTTAAACCTATCCATTTGCCATTTTTAAGAGAGATAAGGAGCACATATACAAAGACATCATTTTATGGATTAATAGTGAGTCTACTAATTGACTTTTTTTATTGGATGAGCTGTGTCCAATAATAGATTTTTATTGGATGAGATGTGGCCAATATTTTTAATATTGGTCACATCTTATCCAATGTTACTTCAAGTGCAAAAAACTAATTAATCAATTAAATTACAAAAAAGTTTTACCATGTAAATCTAGGGAATGATGATATCATCATTCTTTACTTCTAACATTTTTTATCTAATCTAAATATAAGTATTATCTATTCTAAATTATTAAGTAACTAGGGTCTTGCCCCGGCTAAAAATGGGACTTTTTAAGATTTAGCAGCCATGACTAGGAAAAAGTTTATAACACTTTATATATTATAAATTTATGCATGCATTTACTTTTTATTAAATACTGGCATATATATATATATATATATATATATATATATATATATATATATATATATATATATATATATATATATATATATATATATATATATATATATATATATATATATATATAAACTAATTCACTTCCAACAGAAAACAAAGGATAGGGCTAAAGAGCAAGGAAATGGTTAACTGAAGACTTAAAAATTTGTAGGTTGTATGAGTCAGGAAAATATGAAGATGTACAAGAGTTTTGAGATTGTGTTAATGTGCCAGGAAAAAAACTGTATGAATAAAAATTTTTATAGCATGAAGGGACAGATTCAGTTAAGGGATGCGATGTTACTAAATGACAAGCCAAGCGATAATAAGTTTTGGTTGATCAAACTAGAGATTATCACCCATTTGAGCAGTTTCCATGATAGTATTTGTAGAAAAAAAAAAACCTTGTGGCAGTAAGAGAGTTGTTCTAGCTTGGCAGATCTAAATACATTTATAATATACTTTTGAGCCTCGTCTGAGAGTGAGAGAGTTGTTATTTATTAATATAGGAGTGTCATCAATGTTGAGATTGTTGTTTGCAGTAAATAAATGAGTTTAGTTGGAGTTAAAAACCACAAGTCCCTGCAAGTATCAAGCTAGAAGAGAAATCAGATTAAAGCTACTTGTTCTGAGCAATCACAAAGACTTTTTGTCAAGACATGAGTAGAAAGTTGAGTCCTCAGCAAATAGAGCCACTTTAGATGTAAGAGTGTCAGTATTGTTAGTGTTGATATGAAACAATACAAAAGCAAAGAAGAATCTTGCAGTACTCCTAAAGTTACTGAAGAAGAGTGTTGGCCTTTGAAAATGATTTTAATACTGTGGTTAGAAAGAAACGATTTAATAATCTTAAAACTTTTATATAAAGAAATGTTAAGATTTATTTTAAGTCTGATTAGAATAAAAAAAACTTTTAAAAATAATAGAAAATAGACTAATCATAGGATAGCTGGATAGGTCAGAGTGTTTTTTCATGGAGAGTGTTTTCTAGATTTTTTTAGTATTTTTCAGAGTTTTTTAGAGGTCATGGAGAGTGTTTTTTAGAGTTTTTAAATATTGGAACCATTTATTTTGCACTTATAGTTTAGTGAGAATTGAAGATTTTTATTTTATTGATATATTAATGCTTCAAGTGAAATAATAATAATTAAACTTTTGTAAGGTTTTGATGGTAATGCTATCTGCACCACAAGCCGTAGAAGGTTTTAATTGAGAATTGACTTTAGCTTTGAAAGCCGGAGTGATTTGGATATATAGCAATGGGTTAATCTGTTTAACTGGAATGGCAGGAAGATTATGGCCATTAGATTCATTAGTTAAATTAGAGGAAAGGTTCTTTGCAAACAACTCTTTATTTTTTTAATTTACTCTAGCCTTATTCTGGAGATATCTAATAAGATCAGATCAATGAATTAGAAATTGAATGTTCGACTTAATTTACTTAATGAAACTGTTTTTTTAAAAGTCTCTAGAACGTAACATCTGAGATAAGATACAAGAATTAGTAAACTGAGACTAATGGACCTTTTTACATTGACTCCTTGCAGTAATTAAAAGATATTTGTTCTCCAAGGAGGTGTTTATGTAAAAAAGATGATTACAGTTTAATAAAACAACTGTACGTTGGTAAGTTATGTAACCAGGCTCGGTCAGGAAGGCGATTTCACGGCATTATATGACCACGCAAAAAATATTTTGTTTTGACGATTTGACCACAGTTTTAACATTTTAAAAAAGCACTGAAAACTTAACTTAATTATAAAGAAACTAAAAAAACAAACTTATTTTTAAAAAATAACAAAAAATCTTCTTAAAAAAATAATGAAAAATAAAATAAAAATAGCTTAATAACTAATTAAAAAAAAAAAAAAAAATGAAAAAAAAAAAAAAAACAACTAAAATAAATAATAAAAAATATGATAATTACGTTTGAAATAAATAAATATAAATAAACTAATTTTTACTAATGTTTTTATAATGTAAAACTAGTAGTGTCCCGTCAGCTTTGTTAACACACCATAGCAAAATATATTATTAGTAAAAAGAAAAAAAAAAAGTACTAATTGACAAAAAAACGTAAATAAACAATTTTGTTTTTATGAAAAACTTCATCTCGCATTAGTGGTATTTTTTATAAAAACGATTAAACTTAACGAGGAAACTATTTTTAATGTATATTTTTAATATAAAGACGTGCGATCGCATGCCTTCCTGACCAAGCTTGTGTGTAAATGTTGCTACAATACGATTAGATATTCCAGCTGCACAAGTAGGTGGAAATTGTGGAGTAGAATCAGGCTTGACTTAAAACCGACTAGAAAGGATAAAAACTTTCATACCTGCTTGGATCCAGGAGGTTAGGTAAGAGGCCCATTTATGCATACATAATATGGCTATATATTAGGCCATTACTAAAACATACGTTTTTTTCTCAGATCATATTGGCTAACTTTGGGATTTCATGTATATACAAATTTAAGACTATCCTGAAAATTTTAAAACAATCAGAGTAAAGTTAATTTTGGGAAACTGTTTTAAAACTATCGAGTTTTTTAGTATACATTCTTATTTTAAAGTAATCATTTTTTTATTATTTTCAACATTTGTATAATTTAATACTGACTTTAATTTTCTGAAATTCCATCATTAAATCACATCTTTATATATATTATGTGTCATAACTTGACCTTTAAAGATGGGCACAAAAATGTTATCACTTACCCCTATTTATCTCCCAAATGACATTTCCAAGGGAGAAAAAAAATAAAGAAACTATATTTTCAAAAATTGCCATAACTAACTTATTAGTGGGTGTAGTCTTATTGGTAAACAACAGTTTCCCAATGCCACTTTAACTATTATAATTTAAGGGAAGTATCACTAATATCAATCACTAGATGTTTTTTACTTAATCTCTCGATTTACGTCACACAAAATCCTTTCTTAATTTACTTTTGATTAGTATGAAAAAATAATAGTACTGTGTCAGTGTTATTTTAGTGTTATTACACTAGGAAACAAATGATAGCAGACTATTGGTTGAATACTATCCCTATGCCTCTGGAAGTACCACTCTCAATTTGTTTCTCTTAGCAAGAGTAATTACATACAGGCAGGTTGAGAGAGACTTGCCCTTGAGTTTAGAAATGTGAAGCATTTGTGAAATGTGAATAAAAAATAAAGCAATAAAACATCTTAAGTAAAAGGTATAAAGTAATCTTTTATTGATGAATTAGATTTTTTTTTTCTGCTCTGGTGTTTAGTATAAATAAAGCTGTCTCTTAATTTTGCCATATTTTTTCTTTGATGCCTCTGATACAAGCTTTACAGACCCTTCCACTGATTGCGATTTGTTAGGTGAATCTGAAAGAATAAGTTTTTGAGAAGTTTGCAAAGCTTTCTCTAATTTAAAAGATGAAATATGTTGGAAGTTCAACCTCAATTAAAGAAACATCATCTAAACAACTCCACGTATAACCATTAAGTTAATAGGCATAATTGCTTTTATTTTCAGTTTTGGTTTTACTTCAGGATTTACTCTTGTAAATGCCTTATGTACAAAATTGGTTTTATAGCTTGTTTGCTTGATCTGTTTCATCATCAAGTTTTTGAAAAGGTTTTCTTGAAGGCAGCAATAAGAGTTTTTTGAAGATTTTGAAAAGCAATTCTAATAATGTCTGTCTGATATTTAATGAGCTCTAATATCTTGTGAAAATGTCTAGGAGCATTTTATAAAGATCAGTTTTTTTATGTGCAAACTGCATTAATCTTGGACAATTTACGTTGTAATTTTGCATCTGCTTTTTGATCTGGATTCTTTGCTCTCGAATAAACCGTAAACAACCATTATAATTCGTAAACAACCATTATAATTCGTAAAGCAAAAGTGAGTCATCAAGCACGGTCAACAGGACCAGGTTTTTTCATTTAATATTTTAGGAAAATAAAACCTATAGATATTCCAATACAGCAAACCGTCCCAGGAAGCACATGCCGTTTTTCTTCTCATTTGTTCATGTATAAGTTTTTTATTTAGACAATTTGGTCACAGCCATTTGCAAGTTTTATCATATTAAGTGTAATTTAATACTTTGCGAAAAAAATTAACAAAGAAAGCATGTTTATGCGCATCATCACTGTTTTAGTGTCCTTATGTTGTTTGGATGTTGCCATATATTTATATTGTACAAGTTTGGACAAATATTTCTTAAATATGGTAAAAATTGCTACAATTTTTACTTCATTTTTTTAAGAAAAAAAAGACAATACAATTTAAAATTGTAGTACATTATTAAATACTAGTCACTATTTAAGTTGAAAAAGGCCAGAGTAAATATAATAAAAATGTAGAAAGTGTATGTTATGGGTGATAAAAGAATGCGTTCAAGTTTTGAAAAAATGGTTGTCTTAATATAATTAAAATAATGATTGCAAATGGTGTCACAATGTTATATTGGTTACCATTATAGTTAACAATGCAATATGATTTTTATATTCTTTCAGGGGATTAAAGGAGCTGTCAGTTTACGTTTTGATCTGTATGGTGAATCATTTTGTTTTATTAACAATCACTTTACTGCTGGTGAAAAGTCAACAGAATATAGAAATAATGTGAGGATTTTTTTTTTTTTTAATTTTATTTTAATTTTCGAAAAAAGTTTTTTGTCTTTTAAAATATAATTTTAGAATTATCATGCTATAAATTCAAAAACTCTGTTTCGAAACTGCGAGAAGCAACTTATAAATGATCACAGGTAAGCAATTGTAACATATTAAAATAACATTCAAAAATTATATTTTCTTTAAAATTCAGTTTAAAAACTGTTAAACTTTTTTTACATGACAAAAAGTATAAGTAATGATATCAGCCTATCAAATTTTAGTTGGCTAAATAATAAAATTAATAATAGACAGCTGTTGTCTAACTTCAGAATATGCGAAAAGAAACATAATTAGTAGAGAAATGATATAATTGATTGTAAATTAACCCTTAGCCCTTGTTTATGGTTATTTTATGACATATCAATATGATGTCATCAGTAACATTTCATTGGGACTTTAGTACTTATTACAAGAAAGTAAAACAAATTATTTTAAATTATCTTGCTGATTAATTTTGATAGTCTGCAAGAAACTTTGTAGTTATTTTTTTAAAAATCTTTAAAAAGCTTTTTTATACACACAAATTTTGTCTATACACAACATTGCAATATAATTCTTTGAAAGTTTATATTTTTATAAGAGGAATTTAAATAGACTTACAAACATATGCTTTAAAATAAGACTTGAATGTTTTATTTTTACTATGAAAAATAAAACGTTATGCGCTATTATTGATATGAACAGCTTTGTTTTTTATTTGTAAGATTTTTAGTAAAGAAAATCAAATTAATAAAATAAAATAATAATAATAATAATAAATTCAACTAAAAACATTATTTCAGATTTATAAAATTTTTTTTAAATTCATTACTGATTGATTGCATATATAATAATAAAAAAAGAATGTGGTTAAAATTAATAGAAATTATTGTTAATTACAATTTAAATTTTTTTTAAATTATGTTTTAATTGGGGCACCTTGGTTTCTTTGTTTAAAGACACATTTAAAGATACTTAAGTAAAACATTTCCTTTCAAAACAAGAAACTTTAATAAACCTTGAAAACCAAACTGATTACAAATTATAAATTGAAAACCAAACTGATTACAAATTATAAATTGAAAACCAAACTGATTACAAATTATAATTGAAAACCAAACTGATTACAAATTGAAGATTTTTTCTAAAAAACAAATCTAAAGCATTTAACAAATGTTTAATTTTTTACAAGTATTAATGAAAAAATCAAAAATCAAATCTAACTTCCTTACCAATTATGCTTATCTGGCCAGAGCTGGCATCAGACCACATACCTCTTAGTCTTTAGCTAGAACTCTAACCACTGCTACAAATTATTTCTTTTATCAGCTGATACATATCAATAATGGTTACTGAGTTATTGAAAATAGTTAAAAAAATAAATTTTTTGGAAAACATCTTAATATGGATTTTTTAGGGTGCCAATATTTATAATAAATAAATGAAATCTTAAAAAGTTCAACTACCGAATTCAATGTTTTGTGCAAAAAGGTCAACTACTAAACCCAATATTTTTTTTAAAAGTGTTTCATAGATGTCTACTCATGCAGTGAATCATGAAGATAATCAAAATAAATTGCGTATTATTTGCTTTAAGAAAGACAAAACAATTAGAGAAATCACTAGCTTATAGAATCTTCAAATATAATTTGGAGTTAAATTTGGAGTTGACAAACATTATCCATCTAGTATCTGTTCTTACAACAAAAAAATGTTGAAGTTTTTTGAAAAATCTATATATATATATATATATATATATATATATATATATATATATATATATATATATATATATATATATATATATATATATATATATATACATACATACAGTGACGAATCCAGAAATTTTTTGGGCATACCGGTCTAAAAATCCTGTCTACCTAAGAAGCCCTTTTTTTTTTTTTTTTTACTCAAATTCAAATAGAATTTATTAGTATATAATATATAACTCACCCTAGTTTTTTAGGTTTTTTCTAACAAAAATTTAAATAACTAATCAAAATAATGTTGCATTTATTACAGAATGACGGCTTTAACTACAACATCGATTCATCGCTACTCGCTACTTTTCATTTACTTGCTCCATTCACTTACTATTTATAAATTATAATTAATACTATTAATTAAATTATTAAATTAAATTATTAAATTCAAAATATTAAATATTGTTAACTAAAAATATTTATAATATTTATATAACGTTTAGTAAACAATATTTGTATGACTCTTTTGTATAAACTTGATAAGATTTATTACATAGCGTATTTAAAACAACGTAAATTCATTCAAAATTTTAATTACTTCATTCAAAACTTAATAACTTTTTTTTTAGTTCTACTCTTACTATTCAAATCAAGTTTTTTGGCACGAATATTAAAATATTAATTTAATTATTTAAATAAATGTTATTCTAATTTTATGTTTTAAAAACTTTCATTCGTTTTATTATTTAAAGTATTTTTAATACAATTTTTACTGTTATTTGAAATGAAAAAGTTTAAAGCTCATGTAGTTTTATCGCTTCGAAAATTACGTTAATGAAACGTAAACGGAGGAGAAACTCAAATTAATGTATTTTTAAAATGTTATTTAAAAAGCCTAAGCGTTTCATATTTTAATCCAATCAAAACGTGCGTTTTACATTTAATCCAATTACAACGTATTCTTTATTTCATCAACGTGAATTTGAATTAGACATTTTGGTTGGTTTTAAAAGTCGTTTTTCAAATGTTGGTATTTCTGTGATCACAACAAATGCTAATATAAAACTGTTTTAAATTGAGTTTCGGCTGAAATTTGGGGGCCCATACCAGTATACCGGTATCAAAATCGGCCTGGATACGTCGCTGATATATATGTTTGTTTATATATATATATATATATATATATATATATATATATATATATATATATATATATATATATATATATATATATATATATATATATATATATATATATATATATATATATATATATATATTTGAATATATATATTTATATATATTTGTTATTTCAAAAAATTGTAGTTGCGTTACTTAATTAAAAAAAATATATTTTTTATTTTTTAAAACTTCGGGAGTAAACAAAAAGTATTAATATATTGATAAACAAAAACCCTTGCTTATTACTTGAACAGCGATTTTGTTTTGACTAGGTTTTTAAATATATTACGTATATTTATGTCGCTCAGCGTTTTCACTTGCGTTGTATAAAAATATAAAAAAAGTTTAATGCATGTTTTGAGCATATTTTTGCACTAAAATAGAACGCGTTTGCCAGGAATTTAATGAATGAATGTTTTACGTTATAAATGTTTTACATTTAAACAAATCACAAAAAACCACAGAGCTATAGAGAATAATTTTTTTAACAACTAAATTTTTTTTTTTTTTTTTTGAATTTTATTAAACAAAAAAAAATTAAATTACACAAAAAAGTTTTAATTATTTATACTCTTTTGTTAATAATTCTCAAAACAAAAAACTTTTTAAATACTTCTACGCAATCGTGCAAACTTAAAAAAGTACTCAAATAAAACAAAAGTATATTTAATAAATCGTATCATATCTGTTTATAATAAACATTTGTTAAAAATTGTTTATAAAAAATTAAGTTTCTTAACTTATAAACTAACTCTAAAGTATTTTAATTTTATTACAAAACTCTTTTTTTTTTTTCGTTTGCAAGCAATTTAATTTAGGGTAATAAAATAAAAAGAAGGAGGATAAATATGAGGTAATCTTTGTTAAGAAACATTTAATTTATTTATTGAACAATATTTATTTTTATTTGTATACTTAAATAAAATATACTGTTAAATAAGTCAAATTCAAGATTAATAAATTCATTTATCTATATAAACTTGAATATATAATTTTTATTTATTAGATAATTAGTTCACGAAGACTATCTGTTAAAAGATCATCGTCACTATCAATGTCCTCTGTATCACTTGTTTCGATTAGTTGATCGAAATCTGCCAAGTCTTTTTGAACTACTTCTTTTTCGGCAATATCAGTGACAAAGTAGCGGTTTATGAAGCTGTCAATAAATTCGTCATCTTGCCCAATACATTTAATTTTATCTTCTATCTCCAATAGGGTTCGAGATATAGTAGTAGGAATTTCATGAGCCAATAACTCATTGGTTTCGAATATTTTAGACGCAGGAATAACTACTTCCAAGCTGTCTGATACAAACCAACTTTGTAGAGGAAAGAATGACACTTAAATGATTTCAATAAGCCTTTCACTTTCGCTACAGTTTTAGAATTGGTCTGTTCGCTTACATAATTTTGATAAGCCATAATAAAAGCTGGCCATATTTCTAACAAATTCAAAACTCCTCTCCTCCTGTGTCCAACAAACCTTGTTCCAATAATTTTTGGTAAGTTGTAATGCGTTAAACCGAGGCATTTTGAAGCTGCTTCAACTTCTGCTTTTAATTTATCTGAATTTCTTAATAGATAGTAATTAGCAATATAAAAGTTATCAATCTTTATAAAATAAGGAATTTCTTTAAACGCATCTTTTACAGCCAATTCAATTATATGATTAATGCAATGAATTTTAATCAACCATGGACAATTTTGCTGCAACTGGGAAAGCACACCTTTATGCATACCGAAGTTAACACTTGCCCCATCTGCTGTTGCACATACGACTTTGTTGGTATAATCTTCGGTACTTAATTTAAATAATGATTTATCCGATTCAAAAATACTGTTTATACCAATGGTCACAGAGTTAGAGTTGCTACCACCAAAAAGTGACATATCCAACAACTCTGTTACCATGTAAATCAGTAGGCCATTCTTATCAGTTCGAACTAAAACTAGTTCCTTTTCTATTCCAGTTTTTCTTGTTTGACTTCCATCACTAAGAATGGAAAAAAAGTTGCACCGTTGGAGGTTTTCAAAGAAAACTTAAAACAAAGTATTTCAATGCAATTAGCAACTAATTTAGCACTTACCAAAACAGAAAAATGTGCGTGAAGCATTGTTGGGTGGCACGCCATTTCATTGGCAGTTTTTACAAGGTTACGATAAGAATTTTTCATGTGTATTTCTTTCAGGGCAGATGGGTTTAAACATGAGCTTGTTGACAAATTTTTGAAAACAACCTAAATAAATAGTAGCATTTTTTTTTTTTTTCCTGCTTGTAAAGGCGACAAAAACTCTACTTATATTTTTTACACTATTCATTAAATTGCAACATTATTCCTTATTCTGTTATTCAATGCAACAATTTGCGACACTATTCCCTTTTTCACATTTTCGACAATCAAATTTGTGACATTCTTCCTGTCACCCATTATAACATGTAATAAATAGTTTTGTGAAAACAATTTTTTTTAATAACAAAGTATATTTTATAAAGTAATCGAACCTATGAGATGAGAACTTATAAGATAATATTATTGAATTATTTTTAGTTTTTTAAAAAATTTTTATTTCAAAAGTATACTATAAAGTAAGTTATTTATTGATTCCGAAAATTATTGCATCCAGAGCATGCATTACTGCATAATTATCCAGAGCATGCATTACTGCGTTAAAGCGATCGTCATATTATGTGACTTTAGTCAATTATAAAACGTTATTACGTTTTATATTTTGTGACTCTAGAATAATAAAGCTCTATCTCCATTTTGTTGTCGTTGGGAATCGACCATAAATTGGTTGTCGGTAAAATGCGATCTGCGGACCGCGAACCGGTAAAATGCGATCTTTTTTGCAAACCAAAACATTACCTTTTAAAAACCATTATTGCTATGATAAAAATAGTAATAAAAAAATCTCCCATTCTTAACTATGTATTTTAAAGCTTTATTAAAAAAAAAAAAATTATTTTATAACTGTAAAACATGCGTGGAGTGTTGCTACATCAACTATCTTATAGCCTGACTCGCAACGGAGTGCTGCTACATCGACTATCTTATAGCCTGACTCGCAACGGAGTGCTGCTAAATTGACTGAGGGTTTGGTTCGGAAAGGCAGTCTATCAAATAATAATAAAAAAAAAATTTATATTGTATTTGTCTAGTTTCACTTAGTTTCTTTTTATTTCTTTTTAATTAATATTTTCCTTAAAATATACTGCTAAATGAACAATTTATCAGAAATAAAACATTACATCATTAACAACCAATAGGACAATGGTTTCGCAAAAAAGTTCGCATTTTACCAGTTCGCAGTTTGCAGTTCGCATTTTATCTAGTACCCCATAAATTACACAGCGCTAAATTTCACTAATAAACAAGACAAAATAATCAAAAGTTTTCACTCGCAGAGCGTAAATTTAAAAAAAAAATGAAAATAGCCTATTAAGTTTAGTAAAAATCGAAATATATTAAGTTTTGACACTCTAGTTTGTCTTATTTTATATAGTAAAATACAAAAATTATTAGTCATTAGTAAAGAATAAAAACTGTCATTAAACTAACACATGCCTTAGTTTTAAATTAAGGGAGTCGGCAATGTGCGCACGCATAATGAAACATCCGTTGTATAAATATATTTAACTTAATATTTGTGTCATCAGCGGATGTTATAGTCTACTCGTGATGTCTTTAATTTTATAATATAACTTGATTCATGAAAAAAAAAGTTTATTGAATCGCACGCAGTTAAACAAATTGTCTTCTTTTAAAAATTTTGAGTAATAGGTAACTTTTTTTCCTTATGTACCAGCCCCCTCCCCCTGTATATCTTAAAATTAAAGGTATACTTTTAACTAAAAAAAGCAAAGAGTAATAATTAATCAAGAATTAATTTTGTTTTAATTAAAAATAAGTTATTCATATACTAACACATTTTTTTAATATCTTTAAAAAATGTCTTCATATTTTTGTTGTCAGAGATTACAAAAAATAAATGTTTTTTGTAACATTGATTTATATAGAATTTTGTACTGTATTTTTTATTAAAATCATATAAAAGTTTTAGTTAAGGAATGGCGAACTTTTTTCATTTTGTTAAATATTTAGATTAAAAGGTTAGCGTAAAATTACGTTGAATATAATCGTAACTATAACTTAACTATTTCAAACATAACTTCTTTCAAACTTTTGTAACAAATATTTTTACATATTGTTATTCAAAAGTTTGTGGTTTTTTTAAAAATTAATTACTTCTTTTATGTTACCACTAATTTAAAAGTTAAAAAATGATAAAAAGTAGCTTAACCAAAACAGCTCTACGCGTACGTAAAAATCGCTCTAGACGTAACGCTTTAAAACAAGGTCTATATATATATGTATGTATGTATATATATATATATATATATATATATATATATATATATATATATATATATATATATATATATATATATATATATATATATATATATATATATATCAACCCTCGGAAGTAGGGTGTACATATATTAAAATTGCAAAAATCACTCTCAAAATTAACAAATCAACCCTCGGAATTAGGAAAAATGAGGTCGGCAAATTATTGCAGACCTCAATCTTTTTGAGGATGGCATCAGGTCAGCAAAAGTTATTTGATACAAAGGTCTGACCATAAAACAGAGAAACGAGGTCAGCAATTTTTTGCAGACCTTAAACATTTTCAGATCGGCAGTAAGTCAACATATAAGTATTTCACCTGATGTATGTATATATATATATATATATATACATATATATATATATATATATATATATATATATATATATATATATATATATATATATATATATATACATATATATATATATATATATATATATATTATTTTTTTAAATTTTCAGTATCATGTAATTACTGATCTTTCTTGTCAATATTTTTCTTGTAACAAAATTGTAATATGTCTCTAATATATGTTTAATTATTTTTTAATTATTAATGTGGTTTAAAATGTGATTTAAAGTGATTTCTTGATATTTGCAGATATTGTATAAACTTTGGAGACTTTAACTATCGCATTGATGATCTAGATGTAAATACAGTTAAAAAATTAATTGCTGAGAATGATTTTCAAACAATATTAGATAATGATCAGGTCAGATCTTTTAGATTTTTGCTTTATTTTGTTCAATTCAGAAATAAAACAAAATCAAAATCCATATATTAAAAACAAAATTTTTCATATATGCATTATTATTTGTTTTTTGAATATACTTTTTTTTTTTTTAATATAAATTATTTTCCAGCTATTTCATTTTTAATTTGACAAGAACTAGCTACATTAGGCTTTTCCATCCTGTAAAGTCACTCACATTGTTTGAAAAGTTTTAAAAAACTCATAACTAATCAATAAATTGTGTTTTTGTGGTAATTAATTTTTCAGGTAATTAGTCCTGCTTGACTAATTACCTGAGCACATTAATAAAATAACTTGACTCAATGCAATTTTCAAGTGAAAATCAAACTGTAAAACTTGATAAATGTTTCAGTATGTTTTAACATTACTTAATTTAATGTTTACATAAGTTAGAAATTCGCATACATGTTTGTTCATGTTTTCTTATAAAGCAAAGTGCTGCAACTCTTTCTCGCCAATACCTCGGTTGCAATGGCTGCCAAGGGTTCTGTGTCAAATACACTCCAATGAGCACTCCTACTACTAACACTAAGTTTGGCAATAATATGTAGGATTATTATTATTATTTTTATTATTAAACTTATATCTTTTGTCATCAGCAATATTTTTTTCCTTTTGTCAAAAGCCTCTTTGTTAAAAAATGCTTGAATGGGCAGTTATACTATGTTTGGTATAAATAATTAATACTATTAATTATTTAATTATATCTATTAATTTATTAGATTTATATATATTGAGATTTTTAATATTTATAAGTATTATATTATTGTATAATTATTAAATATTGTAAAAAGTTATTTAAATAATCAATTTTTTTAAAAATAATTCAAATAATATTTCAGCTGTTAAAAAGCAAAAAAGAAGGAAAGTGTTTCGAAGATTTTAATGAGCATCCCATAAATTTTTCACCAACGTATAAATATGATTTAAATTCGAGTAATTTCGATTCAAGGTAAGAACATTATTAAAATAATTTGTATGATTTCAAATACCCAAATACTCTAAATACAATTTGTATTTTACACTCTACTTTTAAATAGTTGAAAAATAAAATTACTTTTCAAAAAGTGTCTGGCAAAAAATATCTTCTCTTCCAATGTGATTTTTTATGTTCAGTGAGACGTAATTATCTTGGTGGTGGCATAGCTGTATAGAGCTATTCTATAGCAATAAGCAGCTATTCCAACACCTATACACATGATAAAAGAGTTGTATAGAAAAAGGATAACTAATTTATAATTAATTTGTTAAGGTAGGGGTTCCCAACCGGTGGTTCTGGACCCCTGGGGTCCATGGTATCTTTTTGAGAATTTCAAGAGATAACTTAAAACACAGCGTGTAAAACAAAAAAAATTTAAATGCTCTGAGAAGGAATAGATCAGTGAAAGGTTTCGATGAAAGGATTGACACGAATCATCAAACCTCTGCAAAATCAATCAAATCAATCTCTACAAAAAAATATCCACAAATATGTAAAATGTGAAAAAGAAAAATTGCAAATGAAATGAATTTTTTTATGAAATCAAATTGCAAATGAAATTAGTTTTTACATGAAACTTTTTGCTTAAATTAGACAGCAAATCTTTCTAAATTGTGGTCAGAAAATGTAAAACATTATCTTAATAGAACTTGCTATATTTTTTTTATTATTTGGCAGAGAATTTTGGCACATCATCATAAAAACCAGAAGCTGTATTCACATCTCTTAGTTAAGCTTAACAGGGCTCAAGTCTGAAATTTCTTTAAAAGTTTTTTTAGTTTTTGAAATATTAAAAAATTTATTTAAATACATTTAAACAAAAACTAAAACCAACATACACAATTTAAAATCTATGTTTAAAATTAAATTTAAGAAAATCTAGTAAGTTATTTATTCCATAGTGTAGATAAAATTTTAGACTTTTTCGAAATACCAAAAAGTATGAGTTAAACATATAAAACATAGTTATAGTTAATTTAAATTCTAAGTATTTAGTTCTAACACAAGAGTTTCTTTGTATATCTTTCATACAGTTCTAACTTTCCAAGCAAATATCACCTTTTTTAAATCAAAGACAGGACTGGGTTAAGTAAGTTTTTTAAATCAAAGACAGGACTGGGTTAAGTAAGTTTTTTAAATCAAAGACAGGACTGGGTTAAGTAAGTTTTTTAAATCAAAGACAGGATTGGGTTAAGTAAGTTAAGTGTACGAAAGTAACCTCAGCAATCTATTATCTAAACAAAGCAGTTTCTAATCCTACACAACAGGTTTACTTTAAGCTAGTTAAAGTATCTGTTATATCTATAGCAGATATTTTAAAAATATTTACTTTTATCTGTTATATAGTTAAAAATGTCTTGCTGTATTAGCTCATAAGTTAATTTATATTTATGTTTGTGTTCTGGGTTAACTTACTTTATATGTGTGTTTGTGTTCTGTCTAAACCTCTAGAGTAGTTCTCACTCACCAGTAAACACCTGTTTAAATTACTATGATTTTTGGTTCATTAGTGGGACTGAGGCAATTTTATAGCCTTATTTGCATAACCACAAAATCTTAATTGCATAATCACAATTGTTTGGGATGTCATGCATTATCTATGAATGTTCTCAAAAAACTTCAAACATGGCTAAAGTAAAGTATCTGAAAACATGACTAAAGTATCTGAAAATATTAAACATAAACCACCACCTAATTGTTTCTTTTAAAAGTTGTTTTCAAAGTAACTTTTCATCAGTTGAATCTCCTGCAAAATTCATTAGATTTACTTGCTCTTTGTGAGACCAATTTAAATTTGGCTGTTTCAATTTTGGATCTCAGGTGTTTTTGTTTAACACTTCTTCACTTCCTTCTCGTTGTTCTTTTTTGTTCTCCTTCATGTTTGCCACACTGAATGGCTTGACTCTAACACCACTGATCCTATTTAAAGCTCATAAATTTATATTTTCCTAACACCACTGCTTAAAGCTTATAACTTTTATAATTTTCCTAACACCACTGATCCTGCTTAAAGCTTATAACTTTTATAATTTTCGAACACTACTGATATTGCTTAAAGCTCTTAACTTTTATATTTTTCTCTTATTTGGATAATTAACTTTTTGACTTGTTTTCCAGACAACTTCTTGATTTGTGTCTTCTTTTTATCTTAAGGTGATTCTTCTTGTTTTTCTTAAGGTGGCTCTTCTTGTTCTTCTTAAGGTGATTAGGAGCTATGATTTCTCAAAATCTTTTGTCTGATACTTCTTTAGACTCACCTATCATTGCACTACCAAAAGTATTATCAAAATATTACACTATTACCCTACTATGCCTATATATACTATACCTATATATACTATACCTATATATATATATATATATATATATATATATATATATATATATATATATATATATATATATATATATATATATATATATATATATATATATATATATATATATATATATATATATATATATATATATATATATATATATATATATATATATACTATTACCAAAAAGCTGACTATCTAAAAAAGTCTAACATTCTATCTCTAATACATGGGTCTGATTTTGTTACCTCTCTTCTACCTTAAGATAAGCCTGAACTACTTGTAAAGTAATAATATACAAATAGTTCAGCCTTGCTCTGCATGTCTTTTTGTCATTCCAAAAAAGCAGTTCATTTCATTGTTAGACATCTAAATTACTTTAACTTCCATTGCTAAAGTTATTTCTCTATTAAATTTATCTATTGCTTGTGTTCCAGACAGCATTTCTATCATAGTCTTACAAAAATCTCTTCAATACTTTCTAAACTCTCTTCAATACTTTCTAAACTCTCTTCAATACTTACTAAACTCTCTTCAATACTTTCTAAACTCTTTTCAATACTTTCTAAACTAATTAATAAGTGCTTAATTGACAAAAAAAATTTTTTTTGCTGCCTGCTGGAAAATGACATCGATGATTACAATTTTTTTCTAAAATTCCAAGTTCCAAAAAAATCTGGATAACACTCTGGCGCCTCTTAATATCATCCAATCAGTCTCCTCAGTATTAACTAAAATCTAATCCTGAGTCAAATAACCCTCTGACAATCAATACAGATTTTGACCCTCTCATTCTTGTTTCACTGACTTGTTTAATGTTATAGCTGAAAGGTTCTATCATGCATTCGATCAAGGCTAGCAAGGCAAGAGCTGTTACTCTAAACATATTATAGGCTTTTGGATAAAGTCTGGTATGCTGGTCTTTTCCATGAAGTTGCTTTATATGGTGTATCTGGAAAAGTTTTTGAGATTATTAAATCATTTCTTTCTAACCACAGTATTAAAATCATTCTCAAAGGCTAACTACTCTTCTTTATTTCTTCTGGGACCAAAAGGTTCTATCCTTAGTTCTGTATTGTTTCTCATTGGTTTTCCTTATTATTTTACATCTGAAGCACAGGCCTTGTTATGAGTTTTTGTTGCATAACAAAAAATCTTAATACTAATAAATATAACTTTAAAAGTTTGTGTAATCATTAGTGTACTAGCAGTAAGCAACTCGTAAAACGAGTTATTAGTAATTAAATCATTGCTTATAGTTAACAAAAAAAAAAGACTACATTAACATCAGTTGAGTTCGTTTTAAAATCTGCTGCAATACAGCAGATACCATAAAAAGAAGCCTAAAAAAAGAAACGATATATAATTACAATTTTTAATTACAAAAATATTATTTGCATTTTATTGTTAGTAGAATTAAAATATAAAGACTTAAAAAAATTGATGTAACAGTTCTATCAACACAAAACACAGTAACAATTGATGTAACAGTTCTATCAACACAAAACACAGTAACAATTGATGTAACAGTTCTATCAACACAAAACACAGTAACAGTTCTATCAACACAAAACACAGTAACAATTGATGTAACAGTTCTATCAACACAAAACACAGTAACAGTTCTATCAACACAAAACACAGTAACAATAGCGCATAGCATAAGATATTTGTAAGCATACATTACTATGTCTCTCCAAAATAATTAAAAAAGAAAAGATTATAAAAATGCTAGACGACTTAACATAGTAATTAACATAATAATGTAATAACGCCACAAATTAATAAGTTATTTTATCAACTAAAATACTTGAACTAAAAAGATTTTATTGATTACAATATCAAACAATTATATCATAAAATAGCAAGCAGCTCATAAAATATTTTATATACATGGTCATTATCAATTGTGGCATTAAGAAACACATACAGGGTTCCCACACCTCCTTAAAGACTTTAACTATCATTAAACAATAAAAAATCTCCTTAAATGTCCTTAAATAACCATAAAAAAACTTAAAATTTGACTGCTCTCCTTAATTTATCCTTTTTTTTTAATTATCTAGAAAAAAAATTTTAAAATGAATGGATTATACTTGTTAATAAAAAAGATAATATATAGATTTTTGAACCTATTTTTGTTATATATATATTATAAAAAATAGGTTTTCAAACCTATTTTTGTTATATATATATTAAAACTTATATATATATTTATATAAAGTAATAATGATTTCTCTGTTTATATTTAAAATTTATTGAAAAAAATAAGATTATTTTTTTCAATAAATTTTAAATATAAACAGAGAAGTAAGGGTAATTTTTTATTTTCAATAAAAAATTATCCTTACTTTTTCTTTAAAAAAAATGTTGTTCGCAACCAAATCTCCTTAAATATTAGGAAAATATCTCTATAAATTTCGTTAGAATCCTTAATATTAACCTTAGTTTTAATAGTGGGAACCCTGACATAAGAGCTCAGTAATTATATAATTTTTATTGATAATCCATGTACTAATTCTCATTTAACTCTAAAAGAATCTAAGAATAAAGAAAATTATTTTTACCTTTATTATGCAAAGTTCCAGCTTTTCTTTAACTGTCGACTAATGATTAATAGAGTAAATTTCATATCATTAAATTTACAAAATTAAAACCATGTTTCAACAGAAAGCAAACTAATCAAGTGATAACAAAGGCAACTAAAAAAAAAACATAATTATGTTTGAATTTATAAATAAATTTAAAACCATTTAAATTTAAATTGTTCTAAAGTAAAATCAAATAAAGAGACAAACACGGCTTGACACTGAATTTTAGCTAGTAAGTTTTCTGCTCGCTGAGCAGCATTTCTTACATTTCAACAACAACTAATTTATCCTGCCTAGCTCTATCTCTTTTATTTGGACACAATTATTTTTACCTATTAGCATTTACAAAAAGAAATTCTTTGCTTTTATTATTAAATTAATAGCCTTTTCAATTTCACTGTATTCTTTAAACGTATTACCAGTAATACTACTATTGTTACAACTGAATAATAAAAAAATGTAAAAGAATCTTACAAATTGTGATCTTTTCTAATCAAAGACTACATTTTAACTTTAGATTAATTAAAATCCATATCTTTTTTTAAATTTATATATATAAGTTGTTTATCAAAAATATAAAAAAATATTTATTTAAATTAATAAATTGTAATTTAACAAAGAATCTAGACAACAATACATAATCTAAAAGTGTAAAAAATGAAGCAATATCAGTCAGTCTATTTTACTTTTAAGTAATAATAAAAAAAAGAAATTCATGAGTATGTGTATATCAATATTTTCTAAGAAAAAATATTCACATACAGAGAAATATAAAATATACTATATAGGTACATTTATGTATATAAACTTATTTGTCAACATCTCACAGACTGTTTTCCATGTTAAATAAAATATATATCTAATTAAGAATAAACCTATAAAATCTAATTAAAATATTTAATAAAAAAATATAGCAAACTTGCTAAAATCAGTACCAGTTCTAGTGTATAAAAATTTTAATTATTATTAACCCTCCTAATAATAATAATAATAAAATAACAACAAAGTGATCTGAAGTTACTAAAAATCATTTCACCTATTTCCGATTTCCTAAAAAATAGCTTTCAGGTCTTTCCAATTGCACTAAAATATAAAACAAAACTTGCTTTGCTGAAAAAAATCTGAAAAGTAAAAAGCCTAAAACAAACATTTTTTTATTAAAACTATTATATTTAAACAAATTAAGTTAAATAAAGCTCTAAGACTTCCTACATAAGTTGATGGCAAAGATACAACACAGCCTGGTCTGTGATCATTTCCAATGTTGTTTACATGTGTAAGCATCACACTGCTCACTTCTCATTTTGTTTAGATTGTCTAACCAAAAGTCTATAACTGTAATACTGAGATAATGTAACATGATTTCTAATCAATGTAGCACGTTCAAGGTTGTGAACTAATTGATTATACCAACCAGCATCACCCTTTGCAAAAAATGGAGAATAAACCATAGGCTCTAATTTGGCAGACATACTTGATATAGTCTTAAGAGGATTACCTCTTGGGAAAATAACAACTTCCTTGGAAGCAGGTGGAGCACCATATTCACCAACAAATACAACTGCAACTTCATTATGTGAAGGAAGATTATAGTGATGTCTATCTTGTTTTTCAGGTAAAGACATTTTTACAACTGAGACTAAGCGACCTATTATAGCTGCTTGTCGAACTTCTTTATCTTCCACTTCAGCCATGTTTTTAAACCCATGAGCAAATGGGTTCTCTTCACTAATTATAGTTTGCAATCGAAACATCAAATCATTTACGCAAAGATCATTACCAGGATGTCACATTATAAAATTTACTGCTGCAAGTGGATCATAGATGAAGTTGACAATATGTTGGCGGAACATTTTGATCTGGCTTAAGATTACCTGGCCTAAGATTACCTGATGAAAAACTTGGTCGCATATTCTAAAACATGCCGACCAATGATTAATGGGTTGAACTACATTAGCTGTAAATGAAGCAAGAGAAAGACAGATATTATAATTTCAAATATATTTTTAAAAATTCATATTAGCATTTCCATCTGCATAATTTGCTTTAAATAAATCTTGTAAATCTTGCAGGGGTGGTCGGGGTTGCGACAAAACTGCCTTTCCATAATGGCAACATAAAAAATGTGTTTCATCAGGAAATTTCTTGGCACCACAATGCTGACAAATATAATTCATTTCTCCTAAATAATAATCTGGAATAGTATTACTTCCACACTCTTCTCATTTCAGTTCAAAGTATTTGCTGCTTGCCAAGCAGCATATCTGTAGATTATTAATTTTATCTCTTTCATTTCTGCAACAATTTGCCTATTAGCATTTCTTTTTTTATACTAATATCGGCTTCTAGCCTAATATCATCCATTTAAACTTCACTTTTAATTGAAAGATTAAAAAAGAATCTTGAAGATTGTGATCTTTTCTATAATTTTTTTTTTCTAAATAACAAACACAAATAATTTTTAAATATAAAAAACTGTCATATATATATATATATATATATATATATATATATATATATATATATATATATATATATATATATATATATATATATATATATATATATATATATATATATATATATATATATATATATGTATAATACAGAGTAATAGGCTTTTAGTGAATGATTAAAAGCAGCAAGATCTAATAATGAAATTACCTATTTATCATTTTTTAAAATTATTTAAACAAATATAAAAAAAATTACTCATTAAATCTAAACTTGGTATTTGAAAAAGATTATATTTCTTTATTAATGTAGTTTTCAAAACGATCTTTAACATAGTCTTTTGTTTGTTTATCACAATTTTAAAAAAAAAATGATTTTTTTTTTAATAAAAATTATAAACAATTTATAGATGGATTTTATCAGTAAGATACTTTAAACATGTTTTATGTTCATAAATAAATTGCAACAAAAGATCTTTACACAATATTGAATTAATAAGAAACAAAAAAATTAAAATCTGTTTGTAAAAAGAATTTTCTTAAACATTTTTTATTTGCTTTCACATTTTAATCTGACTTTTTCTTTAATAAATATTTTAATTTGTGTTGCAAAACTATTTTACATTTTTTCATAACTAAATTTAAAATTTTTATTTTCAAAATCATATTTAATTTAAAATCTTTTAATTTTAAATCAATTTCTTTAACAAAAAAAAAAAATCACAATTGTGGTTAAATGCTTTTTTTTTATAACAATGTTTTCTGAGCGTCACATAATATTAAAAGATAATTTAAATATTCTTAGATAAAAAAGTTTTTGCTTAACCTAAAATTGCTGAATGTGTAAGCATATTACCATTTCTTATGTAAAATATGAGCTGCATAATGCTTCTTAACAAGGCCTGAAGCAACTCTATTTACTGATTATATTATAAATTATATTATTATTATATTATTATTAATAAATTGAATTATATTATAATTATATTATTATTAATAAATTGAATTACAGCCATATACTTTTTATGTTGTGAAAACTTATCAAGACATTTATGTATTTATTGTGCATTTTACAGCTTAAAGCAAAGAACCCCTGCTTACACTGATAGAATATTTTGGCGTGAAAAAACAGAAGAAGTACTTAGTATGCAACAATCAATGTATTCAAGCCATATGGCATATGAAACTAGCGATCATAAACCAATTAGTGCTGAGTTTATTGTGCAAATACCTGTAAGTTTGTTTTGCTAATACCTGTTTATAAATTTGACCTGTTTTTGAATAAAAAAACTTTAATTTGAATTAATAGTAATCTTTAATTTATGTCTTAACTAAGATTTTAATTAAAAAGGTGAATGTTTAGTCCTAATTATTTTAAATACTCTTAGATTATGCAACTAGTATTATTACTTAAAAACATGTTTACTTTGAACATGTGTAATCCATAAAAGAATATTTTTATTAACCATATTTAAGTCATTTATCATTTAGTTAACTAAGATAAAATCTTTTATGTCTAAGTCAGTTATGGTTATCTTTTGTTTTGTATTAAGTCATCATCTTCTGTACCATACCAAATTGTGTATTGTCATCACCTGTACCACATCAAATCATGTTACATCATTTTTTATAATGTTTCAAATCATTTATTTTTATCTATATTATTTCAAATCAATGTATATCTTCTGCATAACTCAACAATTCACAATTCTATACAAAAAACTTCTTAAAACATCATTTTAATTTAATTTATATAAATTATTAGTTTTCTAGCATTCCTTATTATAATATCAATTATTAAAGTTTTATAGCACTCCTTACATTTGTATTTTATATATTAATCATTATTATATTATATATTATAGTATTGTATATAATTAATAATATTTTTTTTACAATTTAGCAATAATTTTAATTTAATAAAAATTCCTAGTAAAATTAATTTATTAATTGAGTTGATCAGGATTCCCTCTTCAGGATCCCCTCTTCTGATCTCTGGATCCCCTCTTCTGAGATTAATCAGGAATCCTTTTTTTTTTTACATTTTTTACTTATTGCTGCACCAGCAAAAGTCGTTATTATTGTATAAGAATTTTTTTTTAATACAAGATTGTTAAACAATGAACTGTTGAAGACAACTGAATAATCAAGATGAATAATAGTCAATTTGTAATGTAATAGTTTCATTGCATTTTGAAGTTTACTTTAAGGCCAATTTAAAGATGTGACTTGCAGAGGATTTAAAGGTGTGATTTGCAGAGGATTTAAAGGTGTGATTTGTATTGAGGTCTTTGATAATTGTGGTTTAGAGTATATTTCTAATAATGGTTTAAATCTCTACCTAGGTATGCTTTTTTAGACAATTGAATTTGTATTTTCTGGTTTGCCAAAATTTCCATTTTTGAGAAAATTAAAAAAAACTCTTAATATCTTTTTCTAATGAATTTTTCTAATAAAGGATTTTGTTATTTCTAAAATATTCATACAAGATTAACACCTTAGTGCACTTTAATAAGTTATATAATTTTTTGTTAGTTAAAAATTTATGTTTGAAATTTAAAAAAATTTGCCCTTTTAAAAAAATCGAAATTGTTAGGAAGGAAAATAATTTAAAACACTTGAAGAACCTCAACTTTAAAACAATATTTTAACATGTTAGAAATCAATATAATATATAAATATAAGGTAATGGCTAAAATTGCTATCTGCAAGTATTAAGTTCAAGCATTTTATTCTGATTCTTCCTCAGTCACTATCACAGAGATCTTTGCATTTATTAGTTGGCCAGGAGTATAGCTTGTTATAAAACTCATTAAATTCTTCAGAAATAAATTCTTTTAACTTAGTAAAGTCTTTCACCTTCACCTTTTTTTCACCACCTTTTTAAAGTGTAAACTGGCCACTTGGGTGAGTCAAACTATTCACCTGGTTTACAGCACCATTATATTTAGCCATAAAAAAGTATGACAGACCAAATCATTTTTATTGGTGAATGCCTTGATAAGGGCTTTTTTTATCATGGCCATATACAAAATGAAATAGGTTACTAATAGCAAAGTAAAACTTTCTTTTTGAGGTATTTTTACCCTTTAGTTTCTGCAGAAATACAAGACTTTTTGTAATGTTTGGTGCTCCATATCAGTTGCATCTACTTTTTTTCACATTTTTTTCACAGTTTTTTTGAGAAAATACTTAGACTAACCTAGTCTAAGTATTTTCTGGCTTTGATTAGGATTAGATTAGGAATACTAGATATAAGTAAGGGATAAGCTAGATATAAGCCAAACAAAATAACTGGCTCAGGTATTTTGAATTATGCAATGATATAATATTTTGAATTATTCAAGATTCATTTAATGTAAACATATATTCAAAATGATCTATATGTATTGAAAAATTGAAATTTACCTGCAAGTTAACTCAGGTTACTTAGGTGGAACTTCATTTTCCTTGTGAATGGTGTCCCATTAAACAAGCTTGTGTAATCTTGTACTCACTTTCTTTCCTTTTTGTCAGACTGGGAATATCATAATCCTCCATGATAATACTATTATATTAAAAAAAAAAAACAATGCAAATTTTGACACCAACAACTGTGGCAATATTTGATTTTTAAGCCACAGAGAAGAGTAGCTTTTTTAAAAGGGCGTATTTAAAGCAAATTTGCCTGTTTAATAAAAAGAAAAAGTTCTCAGCTGGCTTTACTTGTATAAAAAGATGACATTCAAATAAATTTTTTAAAGGAAACTGAAGAAGATATCATCAAACAATACTAATCATTGAAAAAATAGATTTTTCTAAAAATTTCAAATCAGCTCTTTTAAAAAACACTGATTCAACTGTACATTTGTGATGTTTTTTATTGTACAACAAAAAATAAAACAATAGCATAAGAACTTTTCCCTTATAAAATTTAACTTTAAGTTTTATAAAATGATAAAATATACAATAAATAAAAAAATATTTCAGATTCTTTTAGAAAAGGAAAATAATAAATCACTGCAAAAGCAAACATGTTTGGAACATGGTAATGCTGAGTAACTGTTTAGACAACTTTGAACACACAAATATCAAACAATTATACAAAAGTTCAATTAGCTATGACTTGGAGCAAATCTTTGAAATTTCGAAAAGAAAAGTCTTTTAAATTATATTCGAATCTAGCTAATTTCACAAAAATTTTTCAATAATATTTTATTAAGTAAATGACCCACACTACACATTTTTTAAAAAAATTGAGTAAAGAGAATTAGTAAAAGAGTAAAAGAGAATTTTTTGAAAAAATTGAGTCTATGATTCTAAAGAGAATTAGGACATATATAAAGATTAAACATTGTGATTTCTGCAAAATGTCAATGTAGCATAAATTATTTTGTGTGACATCTTTTTAAATTTTTTTAAAAGTATTAGAAAAGAGAAAAAACTAACTTTTAAGATTTGAGATTCAATTTGCAAACATATAGATCACATGACTTAAGATTTAAATAAATGTTAAATTGCAGGGATCTACTATGACTACATCTCCAAAAAGAACCCTTTTGCGATGCATCTATCAACTGCTACATTAAAGCAATCTCAAAAAACCTACAATAAACAAAATAAAGTACTATTAGGAATAACAAAATTTATTCAAGCAGCTAAATACTTGCAAGTAGCTTGGGCTAATTACCATGGAGACTGCAACTTCAGGCACATCAAAATATTGTCCGAAGAATGTATCAACAAAAGTTTTAAGAAAAAAAAAATTTTTTTAGGTGGTCACTAAAACCTATTTTGTTAACCAATCTAAAAGGTTTTACTTAAAGTCTGTGCTTAAGTAACAACTTGTAACATGATTACTAAATGCACAACCTTCAACAGCTGTTTCTATTTAGTATTTAAAGTAGAGCTACTAGTGTTGCTACCTTGTTTTTGAAAGAATATTTCAGCAACCTGTGTCATCAGAATGGGTTTTATCACAAATGAAAAAGTGAAAAAATATTTGAAGCTTGATCAAAAGTAACCTCCAAATATTTTGGATTTAAAGATCTAATTGTTACTTGATGTCTTTTTCCATTTAAAGATCTTAACTTCTGGAAAACAGGTTGTTGGAGTGAGGAGGAAAAACTTGATTTAAAAAATTATTTAAGAGATATACACATTTAAATGAATAATATAGTTATAGCCAAATATATTATAGTTTAGAATACCCACAATAAAAATTATAAACCAAAACATAGCTTAAAAGTAAGTTTAATAATAAATATAATAAAATAAGTAAAATTAATAAGTTGAAAATATTTTTTATCTTTTAAATATAAATCTTATATGTAAATTTCTTTTAGGATAAAATTGTCATCCTTATTTTGTAAAGACAGTGATTTGTTCATCATTAATAACCGTCTCCCAATCATATATTATTATAATAATTATACATTATATAGGCTATGCTATCATCAACAGCTGTAGTAGAGTTTAAATTTGAAGACTCTTATATTCCATGGACTTCAGAAGAAGTATGTATACATTTTTTTAATTACATTATATCTATATATATATATATATATATATATATATATATATATATATATATATATATATATATATATATATATATATACAACATTATAATAGTACTTAAAGTTTCGTGCCTTTCCGCAATCATCACCTATTAATTACCTATTATATATAATATAATTTAGCAAATTTCTGCAACCAACATTCGAGAACTTCTCTGATTTTTATTCTGATATCTTCTTCTGATAAATGAAGTTAAATTAAACTTTTTATTTAGAAAATTAGAATTTAGAACTATTTAGAAATTTGGTAAATTATATATATATATATATATATATATATATATATATATATATATATATATATATATATATATATATATATATATATATATATATATATATATATATATATATATATTTGTATAGTTTACTTAACTTATAGGGACATACTTTACAAAAAGCGAACACTTATGAGGACATTAGCATTATTGGGAACATTTTAGTCTACCCGTTAATTTTTTGTCCCCGTAAGCATTATTTTTTTTTGTAAAAAAAATGTACTCATAAGATACTTTTATAGAAAACGAAAAGTACATACATCGACTATCAAATAGCCTGACTCGCAAGGGAGTGCCGCTACATCGACTGAGGGTTTGGTTAGGCCAGGCATCAAGGTCAGGCTTAGAGTTAGGGTTACAGCAAGGTTTAAATTTAGTTAAATTATTGTAATATATCGTTTTTGTAAGTAGATGAAGTTAAAAATGAAATATAATATAAAATAAATAAATAAAAATAAAAAAAAGTATTTTTATAATAAAATAATAAATTTAAATATGTATAAATAAAAATAGAAATAAAATAAAAGTTAAAAAAAATATATAAATATTATAAAAATAGTATAAAAAAGTAAAAAAAAACTAAACAGAACAGGAACAAAAAAAACATGTCCCCGAAAGTCGCAACTAGGATGCTATATATATTTATAAACATAAATTTAAATATATTGTTGATCCTCCCTTATTTTTATAACTGCACAAAGACGATTCAGTTATAAATGTAAAAGCCATTTTGTTCAAATCTTTATTATGGTTCCAATGCTAAATATTCCTATTTGTGACCTTTACTAGCAAAATTTCTCTCTTTAATAGCTCCCATAAATTTTCTATAGGGTTTAGATTTGGGGAGTTCCCTGGCAGCGAGGTATCCAGGCTGATTTTGGTACTGGTATACTGGTATAAACCCCAAATTTCTGCCCAAACTCAATTTAAAACAATTTTTCATTAGCACCATGTTTGTCATAAAAAATTTAAAATAAAATGTTTCTTTTTTACTTATTGTCTTGATGTTTTATAATTATAAAATTTGTTATAATAATTACAAAATTGTTATTAATGTTGTTTAAAAAAAGCAACATTTGCAAACAAAATTTTTAAAACAGATTATAAATGCATTTTAAGTTAATCAGAATGCTTAATTCTCGTGGATGAATATGAAATATGTTACAATTAGATTAAAATGTAAAATTCGCATTTTGATTGGATTAAAATATGAAATAAATTATGTTTTTATTAAAGGAATTATAAAAATATAAGCATTTTATTTTTTTATAATTCATTTAATAAAAACATTAACTTGTTTAAAAATATACTTAATATTATCTTCCGCTTACGCTTTTATAACTTTTATAATAAAAATAATTTAATTGCGTTGTATTTAACAATGCAATTAACTCTATAACTATCTTAACTCTATAACTATTTCATTTTAAATAAAAATAAAATTACAGTAAAAATTTAAGTTTTTATGATTACGATTTTAAATAATAAAATTAAATAAAAGTTTTTTAAAACATAATAACATATTAATCATACCAATAAACTTTATTTTAAAAGTAAGAGAAAAACAACAAAAAAAGTTATTAACTTTTGAACCTTGGTATGTTTACTTTAAAAATAAATTAATGATATATAATACCAACCCTCGGAATTTGGAAAAATGAGATTGGCAATAAATTGCCGATCTCAAACTGTAAGAGATATGGATTAGGCTGGCAAAAAAAATTTGACACAACGAGGTTACCATAAAACATAGAAACAAGGTTGGCAATTTTTTGCCAACCGCAAACACTTTCAGGTTGGCATTGCCAAATGCTGATCTTAATTCCAAGGATTGATAATACATATATTTATATAAATTTCTTTTAAATAGAGGTTTTAGTTCTATTTAAAAGATATATATATAAATATTTATTTATTAAGTGTTATAGTTATAACGCTTCTCTAGCAATTTTAGTTATAACGCTTCTCTAGCAAGTACCCACAATAAAGGGTACTCATGGTAGAATCAATAAGCAAATAAATTTGATTTTATCTTCCATATTAGTAGTAAACGACTGGGGCTGATATTTGAATGTGGCCGAGGTCAGTTCAACGAACGGGACTGCATAAACATTGGTGCATGTTGACTTGTTTTTATAAATCATATCAACATACACCATATTTATACAGCCCCAGCCATAAAACTGGCTTTGGCTCAGATCAAATACCAGTCCCGGTTGTTTACTACATATTAGCTAGCAAATAAATCATATAAATGTAAATTAGTGGCGAATCAATGTTGGCGTTAAATCCATCAATATAACATAAATGACTAAATTAAAGGGTTAATTATTTATTTATTTTTATTTCGAAAAACGTAAATTTGAGAAAAAGAAGACAAATTTAAATTTGTATTAAAAATTTAAATTTCTCTTCTAAAAAAACTACCTGTTTTTGTCACTACCTAGCCAATCCAAAAGTGGAACTTTTATGGACACTTTTAAACCAATTTTAAATTTTTTAAAGGATTTTGCAGTGTGGCATGGGGTTTCATTTTGCATAAATATTTTTTTCTTCTTATTTGGAAACCACTTTTTAAATTGAGTTAAAAAACAGATTTTAATGACATTTTTGGATTGGTTCTGTTTCAATATTCCATCCACAATGTACAGTTGTCCAAGGCTTTTTCCACTAATAACTGACAAAAACATGACTTTATGATGATGGTTAATTGATTGGATTATACAATTTTTATGGAATTTTTCATTGGAAGCCCATTTCACATATAGAGCTTTTTGAGTCATAATTTCTATGGAAGACTTATTGCTGAAACATACCTGGAGAAGGAAAAAATTTGTATTATAATGACTTGCCGATTTCAAGTCATCAACAGTAAAACTGCTGTACTTATTTGTCTAATCCTGGCGCTTTTTTCTCTGAGAATTTGTTAATTTTGGCTTTTGTACTGACATTCAACTTTTGATGATTTTTGCTACATTTAGATCCACCTCATTCAAATTGCTGGTAATTGCTGAATATGTACCAAATCTATTTTCTTTCGCTATTTTCTCTAGGTTTCTCTCATTCCTTGGTGTTATTTATTAATTTTTTTTCAACCACATTTACTTTGCCTCTGAATATCTAATGAGAAGCCATTTTTCAATTTGTCTTTTATTGGGTTCACAGTGCGTCTAGATATCTCATTTTCTTGATATTTCACTTTTTGAGTAATGCTTATCTGTCAGAAGATATTGACTAATTCCTTTTTTTTTTTCAGAACTGATGTTTTATTTTTTTCCCATTTTATTATTCAGAACTTTTAGACAATTTTTTTACAAAAAAATTTTTTGAAAACAAATAGAAATTGTTTTGTATAGAAAATATTGAAACAAAACATATAAAATATAAATCTAATGCAACTAAATCACAATAGGTAACAAAAAATATTATTAAACTTAAAGAAAACATAGTAATACTGCACATATCACAAAACACAAATGTCATAAATAAAACAGATGCAGTTTGTCCCCCTGGAATTGTTGGCACTCTGAAAATAATTTTATATTGCTAATCGCCTGAAAGTGTTAAGCTATAAACCTAAAAACATGAATTTGCAAATAAAGACATTGCAAGCCAATTAAAATGGCACATATATATATATATATATATATATATATATATATATATATATATATATATATATATATATATATATATATATATATATAATCTAGATCTTCCTATATTTACAAATGGTAATGTACTTGATGACTCATCTACCCTTCATCTTCTCGGATGAGTTGTTACCTCTGATATTTCTAGAAAACCATATATCAAATCAATTGCAAAACTAGCCTCTGCTAAGGTTGCATCTCTTTATTGTGCTCGCCACTTTCTTACTCTGGATTCTATTTTTTATCTCTATAAATCTCAAATCTGTTCTTGTATGAAATACTGTTGTCATATCTGGGGCGGATATTCCAATGCGCACTGCTCTAAAGAGCTAGTATCTTTTGTGCCATTTACTAAAATTCATTCTCATTTTACTCTGCAATTGTCTCATCCTTTTATTTTTACTGTTCCTAAGTGCTCCAAAAATTCTTATTCGTCTCGTTTTTTTCTTCGAACATCAGTTCTTTGAAATCCGCTTCCTTCATTTTGCTTTCCTAATTCATATAATTTCTTTTAAGTCTTCTGTCAATTATTATTATCGTCTGTTAATCGTTATCTTGCTCTATAAACTTTATTGATTCTCTTCCAGTAACTTTCAACCCATTGCAAAACCCGTTTTGCAATGGGTTTAGTTAGTTTGTTTGGTTGTTTTGCAATATGGTTTCCAAGAAAAATTGGTAAGAGTTAGTCCTAGAAGATGAAAGGTAGATAAATCATCAAGTACATTACTGTTCATAAATGTATGAAGATCTAGATTATTGCAATAACTATTAACTGAACAAAAATTGAGCTTTATTTGAATTAAAGTTCACCAGCCACTGAGAGCCATGCTGTAACAGAAGTGAGATCCTTTTCAAGCTTATTTGCCCCCTCCAAGCAATCAGAGAGTGTTGGTTTCCCATCAAGACAAGAATAAATGCTAGAATCAGCAGCAAACAATGCTACCTTAGATGTGAGAATTTCTTGGAGATTGTTAATGTAAGTTAAAAAAAGTATAGGACCGTGGAT